TCGAGACAAGCACCCCTGTCCCCACCTCCTCCCCTCCAGTTTTTCGCGCAGTCTTATTCAAAGAGTGCGTGACGTATCCCATTTTTCCGCTCGAAGGCACACTTCTTTACTCCTCCGCATGCAGTTATTTGCGTGGCCAGGCCCGGGGAGGGACGCAGGGACGCCGTCGGACGCCGGCGTCACTGCAACGGCGACGGCGTCGCCCCGTCTCTCCCGGCGCGGCTCTGGTCGGTAATGGCCGTAGCCGCCCCCGGGAGGCGGGGCGTCCATCCCGCACCGCCACCCAGGAGGAGAAGGAAGGTGCACGCCCCGTACGTGCACGCGGCCAGGACCCTGCCAGGTGGGTGGTCCTACCCGTTCCTCTCGTCTGCGGTCCAGCCCAAAGCCAAAGCGGACGACTCGCTCGCTCAATTCACGTCACTCTTTGTTTTAATCCCCCTGTTCTCGTGCATGAGGCTTATCTCGTGGATATGATGAAGCAGCGTTTTGCTCAAGCCGTGTTGTTGCCCGCGGCTGATTCTGCATGGGAGTCGGCTCATGACGCCGGCCTGTCAGCAGCGCCCTGTCACGCAAACCCCAACGCGATTTTTATTTTTGCGCCTAAACGATTTTTGCACTTAGTGGGGCACGATTCCGCGGTTTAGTAATGCTGGACGTGTCCGCATCGAGTGTAATTTCTCCCCAAATTCCAATTACCACGGCTTCTATTGAAAACCGATTTGGTGCTTTTCCTCCGTGCACAGTGCACTGTATGACTCCGCTGAAAGCGAGAGCCCCACCCCGCGAGCGACAACCTTGTGGTGGACACACACACAAAACAGTATTCTTGCGGTAAGAATATAAATATTCTTGCTTACGATATTCTATTCCCAATCATAATATTCTACCAGTTATGCCTCCAAACTTCTTCTTAATAGCATACGGATTACACCCATTAGAATAAAATATACTTAGTACGAAGGGCGCTGCCAATACATCTGTATACTCAACATGAGAATAATAGTCTTCTTACAAGAATAACAGTATTCTTGATTTGAGAACACATGTCGGATTGAGGTGCCAGTTTTTGTTCGATGGAAAACTACCTCATGTGAAACTTGTAATGTTCTTCACGGAAGCATAATTATTCTTAAGAGTGTGAGCCCTCCGGTCGAATGGGATTCGTAGCCCACGCAACTCGGGTAGAGCTGTTCTCGTAGCCTAGTGGTCAAGGGTGCGGAGTGGTAAGTCAAAGGTCCGAGGTTCGAATCCAGGTAAAGTTGGCCAAAAAAGTCAACGAAATTGAAGTGTTAACGCAACTAAATGAAATGGCGCACACCAAGAATAACATTTTCTACTTTTTGTAGTCTAAAATGAGAATCCAGAGAATCTACCCTCAAGCCTACATTATTCTTGATACAAGAATACTAACTTGAGTATATTTTATACTAACGGCAAGAATATTTAGTCTAGTCCCCATATCAAGAATATTTTATTCTTACTCAAATCATAATCGGCTTGCAGTAAGAATACTATTTTGTGTGTGCAGCAGGATGGCGAGGACAGGACGGAACGGACCACTGCGGTGCGTAGGGGCCACAGAGACCGATCAGAGAGTGACCAGTAAAGTTGGAGGGTAAGGAGGGGGGAGGGGGAGGGCTAGTGAACCTGTCCCGGTGTCCGTTGCCGCGGCCACAGTCATACGCGGAGCGGGGGCGGGGGGCTGCGGACGGGACGAGTGGCGGAAGGACAGGGGCAACAAAGTTCCGCTCTGGCGCCCAGTTTCCGGTGTATCTCTTCTCCTTCTTTCCTCCTCCTCTCTCTCTCACTCTCACTCTTTCCCGGTACATTATCGCCGGTCTGTGAATTTTTTGTGTGTCCTTTTGCTTCGCGGGGAGGAGCTGGGATTGCGGCTAGGTCATTGCAGGTGTGATGATCCGCGGGGGCGGCTGTTGTGTAGTATCCACTTAAGAATGTAACGAGGCGGGAAGTCGTCGATCTTATCCCCAATCGTCCACGGTCGCAGTCTCCGTTGACTTATGGACAATGCGGGGGCGGGGCGGGGCGCGCCTTATGCCCTACACTCACACGAATCGGGTGCGCGGTGCCAGCGCGGTGCTGCCCAGCGTGAGAACACCTGACTTATGGCTCAAGCGAGGCGAGCGCGTTGCGGCGACGTGCGCCTTTCATGTGAGGCGGTGGCGGCGGCCCCTGGGCGGCCCGCAAGCCCGCGCCCCCCACACCGAGACTACTTGCTTCTACACCGCTGGGTTCCTTTTTTTCTCCCGAAATTATTGTTATATTACACGTTTTCCTGCCTCTTCGACACACTCGCAAGACTGTGCGACGTTTCAAAATGGTTACCTGCAGGCCGAGCACAAGTAGCTGCTACAAACTGTCTTAACTTTTGGGCCATCTCGGGTCGAATAGCTTTATCGTTTGGTGTTAACCAAAACAAAACCTGGACTAACTTCATCGGCTTAATAAAAGTGGCTGGCCTAGTGAGGTTGTGTCAGTCTAGTCACAGCAGGTAAAACCATAAACAAAAAGCAAATTTGTTTCTTTTATTTTTTATTTTCCAAATCTTGATAGTGTTGCCATGACGTGCAATAACATTATATTCTACCTCCCTGTTTGTGTTCGCCTATGCTTTCCGGTCTGGTCCCATCCCAACCGACTTCGACAAAGGCAAAATGCACTGTGAGAGTGTGCGTGCTGGCGCCCGTGTGTGTATGTGTCCCCCCCATCGTGATGCCAAATTCGGAGCGTCCCACTGCACTAAAAAAGGAGATAATGATAGAGAGTTTGCTGCTGCAGCCGCCGCCTGGTCACTGACCGTTACAGGTCGCGCGGCGCAGAGTGTAGTTGTATATCGTGAAAGTTTTGGAAGCACGAGCCTATCCGTTCTTTTTTCAAGGTTTTCATCCGGCGGCGGGCGGGGAAAAAAAGGAACTCTAATTGAACATTGTGAGTGTGTCGTCCCTTCCCTTCACTTCCTCCCATGACGGTTTTGTGTTGGCACCGCCGCACGCTCAGCGGAACGGGACGAACGCGATGATTGTTTGTCAGTGTGGCCAACAGCACGCGCCACCAGATCGAGCGGGGGGAGGAGGGAGGGCTGGAGGGAACGACCATCACTATCAAAGCAGACATTCGAAATTTTCGGGGGTACCTGCCCTATTGACCTTTTCGGTTTTATACGCCCTTTCCTTGTTTTTAAAATGACCGCCCGCAAACACGTACACGGCGATACAGCGTCTGATTAACGGAGGAAATTCCATACGACTTGCATAGTTGGTCGGCACACTTTGCAACACACGCGCGTCGTCTCGACGGCATAACGGAGTTGGCACCCCCCGTCACGTGACACTCGGCCTGCAGGAGGCGGGCCGGGGCCCGTCGGCGGGCGACGCTGCTCCGCTGCTGATTAGGTACCTGCTGTCGGGTAGCTGTGCCGCGGGTACCGCGCCGCGCACCGCGCTGTGTGAGTGAGGGGGGCTGGGGGGCGTCCGCCCGTGCATGCGTGCGCTGGGGGGGCTCTCTGTCGCACCTGCCCGTGAGCAGCGGCCGCTGACGGGGGGCGGGAGGAAGATGGCATATCTCCGTTTTCGGAAGCCGCGAGGCTGATGCGCCGCGACGGACGTCCGGGCCGGGACGTGTGGATGGCGTGGCGCCGCGGGGAGGAGGGGGAGGCGGAGGGCGAGGGGCAGGGAGGAGTAGGAGAGGGACGAGGAGGGGTTCGCGGTGTCCGGGTCGCCCGAACAGGCCAGCCCGTCGGCCGCGCCGGCGTCACTGCAACGGCGACGGCGTCGCCCCGTCCCTCCCGGCGCGGCTCTGGTCGGTAATGGCCGTAGCCGCCCCCGGGAGGCGGGGCGTCCATCCCGCACCGCCACCCAGGAGGAGAAGGAAGGTGCA